GGAGAAATTCCTCAGACATACTACATTTACAACAGACTGACTACAATCAGACCATTTAATGACTAACAGAGGGAAACTACAGCCAGAAAATATGAATATTATTAATTGGTTGCTTCAGTGAAAATGCATTTAAAAAACAGAGTTAAGAATATAGATAAATTTACCTTTATCCATTCTTCCTTATCTTGTTCTGAACTAAAAGAGACATTTGACACATTAGTCCAAAGCTAGTTTAGGAAACATTATCTCACTATCAACAACTTGCTGCAAAAGCCAAGGTTCTGAAGCAGTTCTCATGTACACAAAGTAAAACAATAGGGCTTATTAAAGGTCTAACAAATAAAAATAAATAAATTCAAAGCATGACTTCATGTTTCTGCAATCACTAAGCACTGAATTCGAGTTCAAAGATAAATTCAAATGCACATAAATGCGATAACATTTTCACTGTCGGACTTTCTGGGGCATAGGATAGAAAGCAAAGGATGATGCCTCATAATTTAGGTGTAGGTGCTTTCTTCTTCTCTCATTTAATAAACTACTGAGTTCACATACTGACACCCTTTTTCCTGTGCATCTCTTACATCTTCCTCCCTCCCCCACAGAAAATTATTTCCTTATTGCTGTTTTTAGTTGTTTAAATTTGTCTATAGTGGCAAGAAGAACATTTAACTAAAACCAAGAAAATGCTGCTTGAATATTCATTATACACCAAAGAGCAAGATTTTCCCTTTTATAAGCACCTTATATCACACATAACAGCACTAGTTCACTCTACTAGCCAATGCTGGTAACAAACACAGTTTATCTGTAAACTTTAAATCAGGAACAGGAGAATTAGCACCACAGTATATGTTCTCTCTATAGAAACAGGAGGATATTTTCAATTAGGTGAAAAAATCTGACAGGAAAAATTTCATTTCTCTGTGGGTTGATAAGAAGGATGTGAAAGCAACTGCTTACAATACCTCAATAAAAATGTCTTCTCAGATGTTATTTTGCAATATTATAGCAACCTGTAATAAAATTATAATACGTGTGTTTCCCCTTCCCATTTTCCATCTGTATGTGAGGCAGAAAAGTGTTTTGAAATACTTCTCCCTATCACCTTTCATAAAGAGGAGCTGAGTTGTTAAACATCATACAGAATTAGCAATCTCTTAAAGGAGTTACCCACTAGTTATTTAAAATCTCGAGTTGAGAATGCTCTCAAAAGATACTCTGAAAAAGAAATTAATAGAAGTAACCCAGTAAAGAAAACCCCAAAGAGATACTAAACATTACAACGGAGCTAATAGGAGCTCATGAAATAAGACCGTTAGGTATAGGTGGCATTAAATACTCATGTAATAACCAGGATTATTCTAATCTAAATGTGCGAGACTTAGCTTGGTACTTACTCCTTCAAAATTTGAACAGACTTAATGCATTCCAGAGAAGTCCATAAAAAAAAAAAAAACTGAAAAAAAAGTTATTCTCACACCTAAATGAACTAACGCAATGCTCTTTAAAGTACTGATAATTCTGGTAAGTTTACAAAATAAACTTTGAATTTTTGTGGTGTTTTCCTCCAATTACAAAGTACTTTACAAATGGTACAGCTGCTGTCTTTTACCACTGAAATGGATAGGTGGCCCAACAGCTTGCCACATACTTGGCAAAATATCATACAGCAATTTCTAGTAGATACGGCTGATAGTCAAAAATGGGTCTGGTAAGTTCTGCGAACCTTAATGGAAATATTCTGTAATTTTCAAATATATATATTTATTATTATACATAATTCCATATTCAATCATAGTGTAGCCAAATTTCTATACGCTATTACATTGCTGCTACTCTCATTAAATACTGTAACTTCTTTTTCATAAAGAAAAACAGCTTGCAAGCCCTTGTTCTTTCACAAGCACACGCTTGCTACATAGAACTACAGCTACCACAGGCAGCCTTGTGCTCATTTAATCCTTGCCTCTCTGTAATGAAATCTTAACTGCTAAGAACGGGGCTGCAGCCAGAGCTGCAGCAGAGGAGGAGATAAAAATGCCCCCTACTTTTATTGGAAGTGGGCTGGGCTGGAGAGGAACAGCTGAATCCAGTCCGCTCAGGAAGAAGCACCAGTAAGATAACCCAGCAGCAAGAGGATAAAAAGTCCAACCTTGTGTTTGTATATATTTAAACTTCCAAAAACTAGATAATGGACTTCACTTACCTGGCCTGCAGCTCCAGTGTTCGCTCTTTTCCAGACACTTGAAAAGTGTGTGGATATTCTTCATTATGAGTCTCTATGATCTTCATACCATCTATGCCAACTCTGGTTCGAACTGAGAATTTTGATCCTACCAAGCTGAATTTGGGGACGCAGTAGAGAAGCATGTTGTTAAACTGGGAGAGGGAAAGAAAGCACAGGGCTTTGCATCAACAAAAACACAGATACAGCCACTGTTTCTACTGGGCTGGACAATATCACAAAGCTAAGTTCAGTGGTGGGAAAGCAGGTTCTGTTCTGCTCAGTTGATAGACAAGAAAATCAAGGCTTAAATTCAGGACTACTTATTTTTCTTATTTGTTCCTCGGTTTTAGAAACAAAATTAAAGGTCAATATGCTTATATGCTCAATGCATATAAGGATAGTTGTTCTATATATACAGCAGTCTCACTAACATTTATTAGCAACCATAGAGTTGATATTTGAGTGGGTATATTGTAACACTATAAAACACTTGTCAAAAGAATTCTCCTATCTCAATTCTGTAAAAGCTATTCTGAACTGCAGAATAAAAACCCTTTTGTGCAATGTATACTTTGATATTTACTCTGCACCAAAAACACTTGATTTTGTAGAAACTGTAACTACTATTATCTTCATGGCATTGTTTAAAAAAGAAAAAAACATTTTATTCTTATTAAAAAGCTCAAAATCAGAGGAAAAAATACACAGGCAGCACAAAGATATATTCCTTTACGAAAATTAGATTTTAAAATAGCGTTTAAATGCCCAGTGCCTCAGCCTCAAAGCAGTTATTAAATCAGATCTACAGAGGTTAACCCATATTCTCGCAATTAACTTTTAAAAAGATTCTTTTCTTTTCATAGAAATACTGTCATGTCTATTGGCTCATCTGTATCACAGACGCAGCATGCTTGAACTTGTCACTTTTCATACAGAGTGCATGGCATTTTAATCAGCTGTCTACCCCATTTGAAGTCTGACTACTCAGTCATTTCTTCTTTTGTTTGAAGCACAGAATGAGCACTAATTCTGCCTCCATGGCTCATTACTAGTAAAGAACTCAACAGGACTCTATTATAAACTAGAACATGTGCAATGTTGAAGGCCCATCAGCAAAAATAAGAATTTGATACTAGCACAGTTTTTAATGTATGAAAAGAAATGAACTGTATCAAGCCTTTTGTAAGGGAGCTGGAAATAAAAACTAAAGAAAAAGAATGCACTGCTTTGGTCTGTTAGTTCTAAGACAAGACATGGGCATCTGAAGGGAGGATGAGTTTCCATAATATTGAGTTCTTACAGGACCAGGAAGCCCGCTTGGACCCCAACACACACAGTCTATGATGACTAAAGTCCTAAGCTTTTACATTTCAGTTTCATAAGAAAGGCCCAGTTCTCATGCTCCAAATCAGCATTTAAAGCCAGCAGCTAATTATTTAAATATGAACTGCTGGACAGTGGCTCTGTGTATTTAAAACCATGTACTCTAAGTGGTGTTTGGAAATCTTCCTACAAACAGCAGAGGACTTGCTCAAGCTCAACTATGATCAGTGGAATGGTTCTCATTGACACCAACCAGGAGAGAATATTCCTTTTCTCTTTGCAGTTATTTGAAGTCTAGAAAAAACACAAAGACTCTCCTGCAAAATAGGTCACCATACTTACTAAGAAAAGATACCGTTCTTGAGCAGATGTATTGCGAGCAGCAAGTTTAAGGATCTGTCCTTCTTTTATCAGCTCATTTGAAGGGTTCACAATATCTTCCTCTTCTCCCAGCATCTCATATATCTCCAGCAATTTCTTTAGATTCTCCTTTTTAGAGAAAAGACAATAATAAAACATAGTAATGGAGATCTTCAGTCATGTTCAACTAAAATTTCTGGACCTTGTGCAAGCTTGGAGAATGTTAGTTTTGAAAAAAAACATACAGATACTCAGTAATATATAGTCAACCATGCAGATTGATTGACCTAGTTGATATATTAACAAATTCACAATTTAGAAATGTTATCTCAGTGATAATTTAAAAAAATGCATTTGTACATACAGCACGCACATTTTCTTGACCATAACATGTCATGCGTTATCTCAGTGATAATTTAAAAAAAAAAATGCATTTGTACATACAGCACACACATTTTCTTGACCATAACATGTCATGTCAAACCAGTCATGCCAATTGCTAACAGGAGAGAAACATTATCTACTTCTTACGAACGTTATCTATTTACAGAAACAAATGCAACAAGAGCCCTATATAATAGCAGATAAGCCAGGAAAAGAAGCTAGTTTGCCCAGTTTCCACCTGAGAGAGTTAGGTGTAATGCCATTTTTTTTTTGCCTGTAATTTCCAGGAGTTATAAAGATCACAGTATGTAGCAGCAACCATTTGGACCCAGGGAAACACTTTTTGCCATGTAAGGGAAGAATCTGCAGTTCTCATTCCTGGCAAAATTTGACAGACACAATTTCCTAATTGCTAAATACTCAAATACAATATTAAAAAATGAACAGAGAAACAAGAACTGCTTACCATTTTTCTTATTGCACTATTAGAATGACTTGCTGCGGTGGATATAATTTCCAGGGATTCTAGATGGAAGACAAAGAAAAAAAAAACATGAAAAACAAAACCCTGCATTTTTACATTGTTACGTATTATATAGAGATTTGTATCATTCTACAAAATTATGTTTATAATTTTTATCTAAATTACATATTCAATATATATGTTAAATTATCAATCAAAAATAACCAAGCTAAATGTAAAGCATCTACCAAAGGGAAATAATGGTCTGGAAAGATCACATGGGAATTATTGCAGATTACTTTACAGACAACTTCAATACAAAGAACCACATTTTTGTGATGTGAACAGTCATAGTTCTCTCTTGTCTTTTCAGAAGGTAGTTCAAGAATGTCAAACTGTGCTTACTGTCAAAACAGCTCATATTATAAACATTTAAGAAAATACTTTCAGCACTGAATTATTTCCAAAAATTATCTATCAAGTAATTCTGAAAGATGCATGGAGATAACTGTTAACTGTCCTTGTTTAAATATAAGAGATATTATAATATATAAACTTCCTGTAAAAAGAATCACACTATATCCTATTTAAAACAAAAGGACATATATGTCACATGTGCATAAAGCAAAACTGAATGCCAAAAAAGGGAAATTTACCAAAGCAAACAAAATAATCCAAACTCTCACGCAATTTCAAAACTAAAGCAAATTTATAACCCAAGAGCATAATTTGGTATATTTGGTAACTTATATCTTAAAGGCAGCTTTTATAATAACTCCATCCATTATCTAAACAGATTTTTTTAACCCTACAACTCCCCTGAAGAAATTCTGTCATACTTTTCACAATGGCTTTGCTTTTTCACTTTCACCTGAAAATAGCTTTATTTACAGTATCGTCCTACTAAGGTCTTATTATGTCTATTTTAAATTCTAGAAAATATTTACTTTCAGCATCTTTCCAGTCTGGGGAATCTTGAGGCAATTTCCTTAGGTAGTCCTTTAGAAGCATCTCATAGCGTGGAATGCGTTGTACTGGCTCTAGCATGTGATGTTGCAATGTCAAATTTCCACACACTTTTTCCTTCTAAGAAATTACAAACATATTCAAATATAATAGGCAAAAATTATTTTCCCAGGGTACAATAAAACAAAATGTCATTGATAAAGCATAAATAATGTATTTTAAAACATGCATTATAGCCCTTCTGAAAGAAAACAGAAAACTACTTTGCCAAACAAAATAATCTTCTAAAAGCTATAGTAAAGAAGTAATGAGTAGAATTTATAAATAGAAATCACACCAAAAAACCCTCCCAAACTCCAAACTATTTGAACTTAACTTTGAAATATCTCAGAAAACAAGAGAAGTAGCAACCGAATTAGTAGGAGCAGCTCATGGCCTTGTGGCAGCAGAAAACCTTTTTTCAAAGGACAGTATGGTATATATTTTATCTATGCATCCAATGAGGAAACGCTTTCTTTTCTTTCGGTTTTATTCATAATGCAAATCCCCCTAGTATTTTAAGACGCATATTCACATCCACCTCCTTAGACAGAACTACAAGATTCTATTATGCTACATGCAGCCAGCTTAAGATCACAGTAACCTATAGCTCAGTAAAATTTACCCAGAATTAGCTTATTCCTTTTCCAGCTGCTAAGTGCAGACAAAGCGACACACCTGCCAATCCCCGGAGAAACCTGCAGGGAGCACTAGAGGGAACAAAAAGCCCTCTGGAAAAGAGCGCGGCACAGCCACAACTGCTGAGCTTCATCTCTTGTGCTCAGCAGTTAGGGTCATACACCTGCATGCAGAGCCCAGTGTTCTGGACAACTGCTGCAAGCCAATACCATATTTACAAATTTACAAAGTATTTACAAAGATCTTTACTTCTGGGCTGATATATATAGCATTTTTCAATCTCCTGTCGCAAGCTTTATACTTTAGTCCTCTAGATTGCAACAAAAAGCCTGGATTTGCACATGTATTTGTGCACATATGTGCAGGGTGAAGGAGAAGCAAAACACGGTATGAAGTGGACAAAAACAACCCTTAATTCTGAGACACATGATATATAATTTTCTATTTTAATCCTTCTCCTCCTCTTCAAATCATACATTTTTACGTATTACTTGGCCTGTGACATTGCTCCACCCATTACCTGAATGTCTTGAATAATGAACTTGAACAGAGGTGATCGTTCAGTCCACGTTTTCACCAGTTCCATGGCGTTATCAAAATTTTTCACGTACTCTCCATACATCTTGAGGAACGGAGCTAACTTCTGCAGAATATCTCCGATTCTGGGAGTGGTAGTCCTGCAAAGTAAGAGGGTGGAATCTCAGAGCAAAATGGAAAGAAAAAAAGTCCCATAAGGTCCTAAAATGTTTGAGAGAGCTTTGTTTCATAGAGAATCCTTTCCATCTGGGATCACCTCATATTCAGTTCTAGCATAATCACCAAAACTGAGCCAAATGACCCTGGAAAGATTGTTCGTATCCCCACTGATGATCTACAATGCTTACAGCTCATGTAGAGTACTAAGGGAAGAAAAGTGATCTATAATGAAAACCATGAAAGGTTTTGTTTACAAAACACACTCTCATTTATTTCCTTTACAGTTCGGTCAACTACATTACATTTTTTTGACCATACTCTATCCCACAAATACCTAACTTATGATTTTGTCTGAGGTCTAAATCCACACTACAAAGAGATTCCCTTCCATGCCCATATATGCATAGGTATTTACAGTCTTTTACAATTATTATTTGAGAAAACCTAGGAAGTAGTGCGAATCTCTTGGAATTCAGCATTTGTGCCAACTTCTCCACAGCCTTCCCAAGTATTGATGGTATCTTCCAATAAAACAGAATAAAAAGAAGATGAACTAACTGGCAGAGAGGGGAGGACGCATGGAGAAGCTGCACCTCTTGATGCCCAGAATGAAAGCAAGAACAACACAAATGCATGTCCTAGAAGCGCAGGGTGAAATATGTGGTTCACATTTCATATTGAACAACATATTCCACAAGTCTTTACTGCTGACTTTCTGAAAGTCTAAGACAAATGTTGTGGCAGTGGCCTAGTGGTAGTTTAACATCCCATATACCATTCATACACCTTTATACACCCATGTATACACCTTAGCATTGAGGGAAAAGTGAAGCAACCTATCCTATTTCTTCAGGAGTCCACTGCAACACGCCGCTTCTCCAGGAGAACAGGGGGCAGCCCCCCATCCACGTGCCTGAGGGGGGCTGGAGGTACCTGCGTGAGACCTGGCCAAGGGCTGAGCTCCTGCTGGAGCTCCTGCTGCGCCCGCTGAGGAGGCGGGGGGAGCCGGCGGGTTGGACGGGGCCGCTGCAGTCACAGAGTCACAGAGGCATCGTGGTCGGGAAAGACCTTCACGGTCATCAAGTCCAAGCGCAAACCTGTCACTGCCATGTCCCTGATGCCTGCTAAGCCGTGTCCCTGAGGGCCTCATCAACGCGTTTCCTGAACACTGCCAGGGACGGCGACTCCGCCACTGGGCGGCCTGTACCAGCGCTTCATCACTCTTGCCGTGTAGATGCAGTCACCAAGGGTCATCACCTCAGTACGGTTCAGTTATTTGCTAACCCAGACTGGACATGGAAATACACACTCACACACTTTCAAAAGAAAGCTAGCAATTTAAAACAAAACCCCACTACTTCTATTCACTGAATGCTCCTTCTGCAGGTTGCCATCTTAGTTCAGTGTAGCGGCATATTTTTGAACTTAAAATAAAATACAAACCATGCCAAGAGAACCGAAGAAAGTGTGAATTCTTTCTTAAAGGTCACCAGAAAATAAAAAGATATTAAAGTTTTAAAATAAATTTAATAGCTAAGTCATTGTAAGGTTTTTCCAATTAAAAAGCCTCAAGTGGAAAGGACTTCAGCATTGCTTTGTATCTAACGAGACCAGCACAAAAAATAAATACTTCTGCGTAGCTGTTTCAGAGCAATTACGAGACACATGTTACAAGCAATTGTCCGAAGTTTTATAACCAGGAAGCAGCAATGGTTTGCTGTGCCCGCTGCCAGGATACCTGTGGTGGCCAATTCGCACAAAGCTCTACAGTTTCACCCTTTATGGCCACACTAAATATTCACAGCTACCTTTAGTGCAAGGCATTTATGTGTACCAACACTCTGAGGCTGTAAAAACAGAAATCATTACCATTTGAGATAAGCTGAACAAGGTCCACGGAGCACAATGAGCTCTGGAAGAGTAGGAAAGATAGGGGAAGTCACAGGCTTCTGAGACCATCATATACTCTTCCCTTGATGGACTTGTGACTACAGATAACTAGTCCATTTCTTATTTAGACAGAATGCACCATGAACCAAAACGTGAAATTTTACTAGTTGTCCTCACTCTAGGACAGTTATCATTTTCTTGTCTGGAAAGGCTGGAGGGAGAACAACTACTACAGACCCAAATCATTACAGGGCTCAGGGAAGACGCCTTCACATTGCTGTGCGTGTACGGCAACACTTCTTATTTCTGTGTTACTAGACCAACATGGTATTCACCAAAGCATTCCAAAAACCTCAAGGATGAAAGAGCGGAACTACTAATCATGATGTGCAGTATCTCACTTAAATCTGCCATAGAATATAGAACAGCCGAAGGAAAGGTCTACGAAAGGTGACTACAGAACAACTGCTTGATCCTTCCCCCAGTACAAGCGCCTGCAGGAAAACAAAATTTTAAGTCGTAGGCTCAAAACAAAAGGAAAGGTAAGGGGCAAGTCAGCTTTGAAACTGCTAAAGGAAACTATGGATTCTGAGGAACGAGCGGCAATTGGGCAATTGAGAGTGACAACTTAAGCCAATAGCTTGGGTCAAACAAATCCATGTGTGGCAACGGTAACATGAGTTCAACTCACTAAGCACCATCTATACCTGCAGTCAACAGATGAAGATGCTAGATGTGAAAGCTACATTGCAGGCTATTTCAACCCCAATGAAAGGCAAAACAAGGACAGTTGCCTCTGATCTGCTTTGCCAGTTTTAAAAAACTATTGTTGAAAACCAACCACAACTCAGGAAAGCTCTATCCATTTTTACCTAAAAAACAAACAAAAAAAAACAACAACAAAAAACAGAAAAGCAGAACTACGAACAAAACTTGAGCAGTTTCTGCATCTAATTAAGGGAACTGGTAAGGAAAGTGAACTCTGGCAGAGGCTGCTGTGCCAGACAATTTGTGAGACTGGGGGTGGAGCAGAGAAATTACCCCTATGATCTTTCTTCAACAATAATCCAGAATTGTTCCCCTCCTCTGTACTCTTCCATCCAACCCCTCCCAAATGCACACTCTTTTAAGGACATTTAACAAGCTGTCTCAGATAAAGCAGAGAGGTTATTTCCAAGCAATATGTAAAGTAACACTCTTAGGATGCAACCCACTAGCTTTGCAGCAAAGATCAAAGCTCACCTGTAGGAGCTCACTTCAGCCTCTAAAACTACGTAATTTTACACGGCACCTGTGTGCATTTTGCAAATAGACAAGACAGTACAACCTGTCTCCTGTGAGGGCATACTATGAATTTCAGCTCATACATATAAACCACTGATATAACGTAGTTCAAGCAGATTTTAAGCATCATTATAATAAGTTCTATTCCACTTCTCATGAATATGAACTCTATCTTACCATCACTTTTAAAAATAAATTAATAAAAGTGGATAAATGGACCTTACACTATCATGGTACAAGATACACTATGTACATGGTACACTATCATGGTACAAGGAAAACCTTAAGTAAGCTTAAGGTTTCAGTTTTCCTATATTTCATGTATTTCATTCAAGTTTCTTTTGTTTGTTTGCTCGTTTGTTTTTGCATGACAGAAGATTTGGGGATAACCTATTTTTGCACATGACATTATCCATTAAATACCAGAGAGAATCTGTATTGCCAAAACAAAGAAACAAAGAAAATAAAGACAAAATAGTACCCCAAGCTATTGCTGCTCCCTATCTAATTTGAGAAAAGGGAATACCCTACTGAAGGGAAAAAAAAAAAACACCCTTTTGTGTTCTTTTGGTAAGGTATTTGACAATTACACAAGGAAATCAAAACCATATGGTTATATATTTAAATATTCCATATTTCTCACAGCCCGAAGATACATGTAATCATGTACACCAAGGAAGAATAAAGACACTGTAATAACACATGATCATTCCACAACATACCTTGCTTGACCTTCTTGCTTGACCCAAACGGTTCTTACAAACAAAAGTTGGAAGAAAAATATGACTGAAACATATACCTGGCCTGGATTTTACTGATAAAACTAAAACACAGAAAAACAAAACTGAATCACACATGAAAGCAGTAATAGCAAAAGCTAGGTCCTATGAGAGTGAAGCAACCTAACACATACATTCTATTTATCTCAATCTTTGTATTCTGTCCAAAAAAAAAAAAAATCAAGTAGCATGTAGTTTTAATTGAAGCTTTTAATGCATCAGGGCATTTAGTCATAAGTAATGTCCTTGGCTTCAGTGAAATACATGTCCTTTATTTTAAGCAAAGGAAGCACGTCCTCTACTGAATCAGATCCTGATGAACAGCAACAGAGCAGATGTTCTTCTACCCACAGTACTTCCTGGGACTGCAGCACTTAATTATGAAGGTACCTTCCCTTCCTCAACCCTGTGACAGAATTTCTACAGACACTGTTTCATTAGTATGTTAACCAGTAAATCACCTCTTACCATTCTTGCATTCTTTTCTCAAGTTCTGGAAGCAAGAATTCACTGTGGAAGACATTTATTGATGAGATATTAGAAAAGATTTTGTTAACCACTTCAGCTGGAAATGAGCCTCTGTTAGCTTCTTCCAAGAGTCTGGAATAGAATACCTGCAATACAGAAAAAGAACCCAAAACCTATCAGCCCACTATCTTTTATCAATGGATTAAGACTTATTCTTGCCTCCTGCTCCAGCTGGGAGATCATTAACACAGCAAGAGTAAAAGCAGATAACGACAAACTATTTATTATCTTCTCCTAACATGAAGCAAAATACGACCTCTCCTCCCTCCGCACCCAACTTAACTATTTTTTCTTTTAAAATCAGAAAAGTGGTAGAGAGTGAACAGACTAAGGGAGGCCAAGCTAAAGCAGCACCGTTTTGGTTTGTTTCCAGGCATGCTGTCTATTTCAATGCTAGACCACAGTTTTCAGAGTCTCTCAATCTCATTTTCCACTGTTGCTTTCTCCTGAATTACCTTGACATCTTATCAACATTAGCCTGAATATTCTGCTTTTATGCTGTACCTCACTTTTAAACTTACTCTTTTAAAACAAAAGTCTATGACCAATTCCCATATACCATCCAAAACACAAAAGGACTCCGGGTCTGATGTGACTCTTTAGAAATACATACATACGTGTGTTTGTGTGTACGTATGTACATATTTCTCTATCAATGAACTATAACAAAAAAAAACTATGAAGGAAGTAAACATTTTCCATTATAATAGATATCTTCTTATGTCTCCAAAGTGAAGCTCCTGCTTTCAATACCTGGTCTTTTAAAATACATATAACCATCCCAATGGGGGCCAGCCTGGTAAATTCGATTTCAAAAAGACCATTACTGAATCCTCAAACTGTCTGAACAAATAATATATTGGCTGAGACTTTGTATTTCTTTTTCAACTCCAGGGTAGCTTATGCATTAGACATGAGAAATTTAAATAAATAGTGATGCCTGTCATGGAATAAGGCAATGTATCCTAGGTATCTAAGTAAAATGAACACAGGTATTACATGAGAAAGTAAAGATGACTTGAAAGGATATTCAAGAACTACAGACTGCTTCACCGTTAAGAAATAGCAGCTTGATTCTTCAGAGAACCAGAATTCAACTCTGTCCTTGCAGAAGGATTAATTTCTGCTCCCTTTAATAGGATTTAGTCCAAATGTACAGTGAGAAAATAGGGCATAAGCATTTTCAAATGGGCACCTTGCGGGTCTTTTGATGTTGATGAAAAAATGTTGTGCAGATGGCTCAAATGTGAAAGATTTAGTGAATCATGAGGGGCCAGCTGACTTCAATATTATAAAATATGATACCTTTCTTGTCAAGTAAAAAAAATGAATGAGCAAACATTATCCATCTCATTTGCTGGATGCTTGAGCCATCTCTGGAAGGGCCACCGGTATAAAGTTTGCACTTCTATTGCTCATAATGAAAGCTGCATGTGCACACACTCACAAGCAACACACTGTTACTACCTATACAATCCAAATGGACGTTTAAAAATTTTGTGTTCTTAGTTAAAATAAAGGCAAACTCATGTGGCAACCGCAAACAAGATGCTGACAGTGTCAGCAGAATGCTCAGGCCACGCTATCCCTTTTATGTAGTGTATATCCACACACACATGCATAGCTGGTCAAGTGAACTCGAGGTAAGAAAATAAAAACAAATTTGAGGAAAATTTACCCGGTCTAGGAGGTCAAGTCGACTAACATAGGCTTTTTCTGTATGCAGAAGTTCATTGGCAATTTTGTGACGTTTCTGTTCATCTGTCTCCTGGAGAAAGATAAGATCTCTTAGTACATCGGAGGAAACAGAATATAGCACTTTTAAACAGAGTGTTGACGGGACAGGTGTTTCCCCCAAAAAAGTGAAGTGTAAGTTTATATTTTGCATTACTCACTCTTTTTAAAATACAAGCTTTCCAGCAATTTGATCAACAATTCAGAAGGTGGGTAAGAATCAGCAACACTGCAGAGCAAAACTCAGAGCCTAAAACATTTAATACTTTGCAGTATAGGAATTTTCACCAAAGCACCAAGCTCCCTCACATCCTGGCAATCAAGCACCACTAACACTTCAGAGCTGGAGGAACTAATTTGCAGAGTACAGTGTAACAGATGGGATTTGTTGGTGTTCCCCCCCCACCTCCGTTCTGAGTTATTTGAACTGACTGTTCTTTGCCTAAAGGAACTATTGAAAAACACGGTGCAAAACATTTTATGGTCATGAATACACACATTGATAATAATTTATTGACAGCAATTAGATTATTCTTTCACTAGGCCTTTGTGTAAGTTATTTGTCCTTCTTATGGGAAGTTTTCACATCAAAGTCTTTCATTCCACATAATATATTTTTAGTTCTTCTCCTAAAATTGAAGCTGAAAGTGGTCCCACAAATTTCAGTTTTATATCAAATATATATTAGAATAGGAAACTATGAGTTGCTTTGAGAAGTCACTTCCAAGCAGAAAAAAAAATGAAAGCATTCTGTTCTAAAAGGTTAAAACATTTGGCAAATGCCTCATTTTTCTAAATGTCAAATTCAACAAAATGACACTTCTGTTACAAGATTTTCCTTCAGATTTACTGCTAGCACGGAAAAATGTTCACTTTTAAAGACACCCGAGCCTGTCCTGGGTAAATGGCAATCTTACCACCGAGCTTATAGGAAGGGGCTAATTTTCTGGACAAACCGCACATACAAACCACAGAAAGAGGTATCCTCAGCCGGAAAAAAAAAAAAAGGCACTTTCAGAGGTTGTTTCTGATTATAACCCACAGACGGTTTTCCACAAGACTAAGACAAACATTTGCGAGTACATTTGTAAAGACTCTGCTGAATGCCGAAGTACAGAGCTTCCACCTAAAGGACCTCAGTGGCTTTCAGCATTCAAGTATTCCCAACTCAATCACACTCCGATCCCGATCTTCAGTCTTGGCCTCCTCCCTGAATGTGGGTTTCCAATAGCGATGTCGAAGCTGTTCCCTAAACCCGCTTGAATCGCGAGTCAGCCACGGGCACCTACAGAGCTGCCCCGCACGGGGCTAAAACTTGTGCCTTCCCCTCAAGTAACGCTTTGGAGGAAAAAGGCTGCAACTACCCAAAGATTACTGGAAATAACTGAGAGAGGGAAAACCATGCACAGCAGACGTATAAATGTCACGCTTCTTTTTAGTTTGTCATTTTGTATCAGGCCAGATCACTCTTGCTCTCCGACCGTACTCGGACTCGCAGCTCAGTATCTCCCCTGCATTACTTCCCATATTCTTGAGCTTCCATCTCTTTTCTACGTCACTCACGGTACCTTGCTCAGGAATCCATGTAAACATGGCAAAAACACACACCACGGACCAGTTATCACTTAAACACAGCAGCATATTCCAGTTCAAGCATAACGGCACTCATTAAATGGTTTGCTCAGTGCAAGAATAACAAGAAATCGTATTGCTAGCTTTCTTTTAGGGAAATCCTCAGTTTCCCAGCACTTCGTCTCAAGATTTCCTCCGTTTTCCATGCGCTCAGCGTGTTTTCCACAGCTAGCTCCATCCTCCTCCCTGCTCGCACTCCCAGCTTCAGGATCTTCTCCCACATCCCATCCAGAGAAAATCCTCCCAGTTTCCCCGAGCTCGCTCAACTTTCCCTTTTGCTGAAAGCAACGTGCCCAGGCTGTTTGCAACCAGCGGTGTCCATCTCCGACAAAGATTTTCCTCATGGAAGTAGCAACCACGTGCGGGCAGCAAGTTGGTTGATGGTGACAGCGACGCCAGTTACGCAGGACACGTACACAGAGAAGCACCAAGTCAGCAGAGGCCCTTCACCTCCTCCAGGTGCTCTGAGCCTGGTGGGGGGAAGAGGCTGGAGAGGGAACGTGTACGTGTGGATATCCTGGTAGCCCACGGCACAGGGCACGTGTGCTGGGAAGCACTCGCAGGGAAGCCTCTTACTACGGCCATTCAACAAAACACCCTCGAAACACCCGCTCAGAGGTCATGGGGAAAATGCTTAAGATAGTTTAAAAACACGAGGTTATCCTTCAGCCGCCGAGTGCTTCTGTGACTCCCTAAGAAACTACTGCTCTGATGAATAAATCAAACCAAAATAGCAAAAGGGAATATTAATTCTGGGTTAAGATACAAATCAAGCTCTACCATGGAGCTACACTGAGACTTCCATTTTATATACACACACCCAGTACACAGGTCTCTCTACAAGTAGTACAATAAGATAACAGAAATCAAAGAAATAAAACTTTTTTTTTTCTGAAAATTTTCTATTTAAATCCTAGTAAACCATTATTGATATTGTATTCTCCACAGTTAATAAAAATATTGAGGTAAAAAATTACTGTAAGATATACCTGGATTTTAAGCACAGTTTTTCATTGGTTTCAGGGAACTTTTCACACTAATGTAACAGTCCATGAAACATCATGACT